TCACTAACCATCACAGCTTTCTACAAATGTGGAAAGACGACTACATCATCAGTCCACAAGAACTAGAAAATCAACAAACTGTGCAAAGATATATTTAAAGAAACAGTTTAATACAGCAGAGTCTAGACTTACAACTTACATTATCTAATGTTGAAAAAGAAAACTTGTTAGAAATAACTTACTAAACAAATTGAAACACTTTTGAAAGTGTTTAAATTCACTGTAATAAACAAGCTGTAAAAACACTCATGATAACATGGAATGTTTGCTCATCATACTTGTAAATGCCTCCAAGGTGAACAGGCCTCAAACAGAAGTTTTTCTCCCCTGGATAACCTCTCCTTCAAGCAGCTTAGTGTGGCAGTGCCAAGGACCTGACCTGGGCCAGCCAGGCTGCGTATTCCCACCACCTGCAGATGCAGACCTAAAGGACCTCAAGACTTGTTTACGCACGGAATTTCATTTACTTTTATGTATCCAACTAAGAGTAACTTAGCTCCACAAGAGCCATATCAATGCCAGTCAAGCTACCCACCCCACTTATTTTCTAAGTTTGTAAGTAAAGTCTTTAGTCATATTCTCAAGTCAAGGTTACTCCTCCAGTGTTAGAAACTCTTTTCTAGCCTTTTGGACCACAGTCTCATGAAGACTTGAAGACAGAAAAATACCTACTGCAAAAGAAAAAAGAATTTAATTGGATTTCTTTCTTTGAAGCATACTTATCCTCAATTTCCTCAAAGTACCTTTTTATTTTTAATTTCTTCATCTAAGCTTTATCAACATTTAACAGTTGAATTTTTTGTTGCTATTGTTTTGAGAGAGAACCCCTTTAGCACCAGCTGGTCTGGTATTTGCTATGTAAACCAAACTGACCTCAATCTTACAGAGATCTACCTGCCTCTGCTTCCTGAGTGCTGGGATTAGATGCATGTGCCACAACACCGAGATGAATTTTTTTTAATTAAAATTAAATTTTCCTCCCATAGTTCCATTATAGAAATACTTAAAAGTAGTATGTTTCAAAATATAACAATTTTATCTGTCTTTTATTTCTCTAGCAAAAATTTTAAGCAAAATTTTTAATTGCCTTATATTATTAAATCACTTAACCATCAGAGGACACCTATGCATTGGAGACTATTAGCTCCATTTTCAGAGATGGAAACAGATATAAATAAACTCATAGTCACCCAAGGTCAGCATCTCAGTGCTAGAGCTGAAGTGGGTGCTCGCATCTCCTGGCTGTGGACTCTGAGTGCCCCATCACTGGGCTTTCCTCTCTCCTGTGTGGGTTCAGAAGCTAGCCCTGTCTGTGAGTAATATAACCTGTGAGCACTTTTCCTTCAAAAATGAGAAAAGTAATTACTTGTTTCCAGCCCATTGTGATTATGCAAAGCTGGAATTTAAACTCTCTTATTTTGTTCCTGTTACTGAATGTTTTAATACTGCAGTACTACATTCTGACACTTTTTAATTAGCTAACCAATATTCATTTGTAATGTAAGTACACAGGCTATCATGACTAAGTATCGTGTTAATAGTGATAATAAGGAATACTTTCATCTTGATTTCCTACATTGTCTAAGTCAATTTCATCATCTTTATTTTCTCAGAAAATCATTCATTCAGGATTGTGTATTAGCATAAGTTCTCAAATATATTAGCATAAGTTTGTAAAAAGACCCTTGTATAATTATTTTACAATTATTTTCTTAGAGCTTTATTTCCTTTATCCTTCCGGGTTTTGTGATGAACATTTCTCTATTTTTCCCATCATATACCTGTTCTACAAATTGTCTATTATTTTACTCAAATCAATAATTTCAGAATTCATCAATTTTACATACTCTATTGCCTAGTCTATTACTCTGTTCATCCTAGTATCTTTTTTCATATTTGCTAAAGTTAAAATTATTCCCTAAAGTTTAATTCTTTATGCTACTCTAGTTCGTCTAAAAATGATGCACGTGTGTGTGTGTGTGTGAGTGCGTGTGAGTGTGTTCTCATGGGGGTGTGCTAATGCACACACAAATGCTCTCACATGTGCATGTGAACTTGCATGTCCATGTGCAGGCCAGAAATCAAGATGGGCTGTTCTCTTCAATCAGTCTGCTCTCCATCTTACTTTCTGAGATAAGGTCTCTCACTGAACCTAGAACTCACTAGTTCAACTAAACTGACTAGCCAGCAGGCTCCAGGGATTCTCCTGTCTAGGTTTTCCTAGTGATGGGACGGCAGGCACACACGGCAAGCACTTTACCTACTGAGCTGTGGGGAAATGGGCCGGTAAATACTTCCGTTATTCAGGCTAACCTAAAACCTGCCATAAAGCACAACATCAAATGACAAAAACAGAGGACAGCGTGCCACACCAATGAAAAGGAGACACATAACCAAATGAACCAATGAGGATTGGGCGGGGGTGGGGGGCGATATAAAAGAAAGCCCTGCCGGCACAATAAATGAGCTTGATGGCATCTTGCTGATGACTAGTATCTCCCGAGATCTGTGTCGTTGATCTCGTGCCCACTCTCCCCCTGCCCCCTGGGACAGAGGTCAAGAGCCACAACAGACAGCAACACTGAGCCATCTCCCCAGCCCCTAAAAATAACTCTTAAGAAGGTCATCAGTCTCTCCTCTGTTCTGTCCTTCACTTACCAAAGAAAACATACCCTGGCTTTCTTCCTCTCGTAGCATGACAAAGTTATTGCTCGCCAAGAACCCTTGCAGTCTTTTCTGCCAGGCTTCTATTTTGATGGCTACTTTCCCCTCATCATGTAGGTCAGTTTTTCTAAATGTTGACACTTGATGAGCCTTCTCGGACCACTCTAGCTGAGGGTTGGGGTAAGCCTGACACATTCTGGTAGTTTTGCTTTATCTTCTTTATGGTCACTATCACCATTGGATGCATTTCAGATTATTGTACTGCATGCTTGTTGTCAGCCTCCATACTCTAAACATTAAGTTCTGATAGCTACGATTGAAAGAATCTTTACCTACTTGTTTATAGGTATATTACCAGCACCTAAAACAAACACTACTGGTTAGCAATGGGATAATTAATTTCTTCTTGCTACTAATAATTATTTATCAAGGCATACTTTAACTTACAAACGATTTTCAGGTTTTATTCACTAACTTTGTTACTTTCAATAATTTTTAATTTTCAATATAAATTTGTTAATTTTAAAAATGAATTTTAATAATTCATCTATTCTCTAGCACTGAAATGCTGACCTTGGGAGACTGTGAGTCTTAGAATTTCTTTCATTATTTATAATATAACCTTATTTGCAATTATGTAACATATGCTGAACATCCATGTGTATTGTGATGTGCACTGATAAAAACTTGCAAGTGCTGAAGGATGGGAAATGATCAGTGTTACTAAGTTCTGTAACTTCACTGTTACAGTGGAACATGAAGTTCTGGTTCTCATCAGATGGTACAGTGACTATGTAGATAGTAATAATTTACTGAATGTTTCAAAAAGGTAAAGAATTTCTAAGGTTTTCATCATAAGAACTGATAACTGAGTAAGTATGAGTAGATACATTTAATCTGATTTAAACATTATACTATGTATGCATGTGTCAAAATTGTGACTCTTCCTCTTTAAAAGGCACATTTTATTTCGATGGATCAGTTGAAAAATATATTTGACTTAAAGAAACAAATGCTGGGGCTAGAGAGATGGCTCAGCGGTTAAGAACACTGGTTGTTCTTGCAGAAGACCCGGGTTCAAATCCCAGCACCCACATGGCAGCTAACAACTGTCCATAACTCCAGTTCCAGGGGATCTGACAGCCTCTTCTGTCTTCCACAGGAATTGCATGACACAGGTGCACTTATCTACACGCAGGCAATACACGTATACACATAAAATAAAAAAATAAATAAAATTTTTAAAAATTAAAAAAAAAAGAAACAAATGCTGCCAGTCCAGCAAGATGGCTCTGTAAGTAAAAGTACTTGCTGGCAAGCCTCGTGACCTGAGTTGATCCCCAGAATCCACATGGTGGAAACAGAGAACTGACTACTGACAGTCATCCTCTGATCTCTACTTGTGCTTTATGGCAATCATGGACCCGCACACATACACACTTGCAAACATAAAATAAATAAGCAAACCCAAGCGTGTGTGTTTCATTCAATGACTTTTTAGTATGTTTTCATAGTACTGCAAAAACAGAATATCTCTGTTATCCTTCCACTAAGAATGCCCTGCAAACTTTTAAATTGTAACTTTAAGAACATTCTGTAAGTTTTTATTGTAACTTAGTATAAGCTCCATTTAAAAATGCAGTTTCTAATCAGGCTAAGAAAAGGGAAAGAATCCTGGAACCAGGAGACAAATTAGTGATATGCTGTATTTTGCGTCTTCCCTGATGTTTGTGCTCACGGAACTCTGAAAGGGAGGAAACATTAAAGAGCAAGCACAGGACTCCGGATTCTTCACACTCATAAAAGTCTAAAGCATAGCAAGTCCTTTATCTATAGTTTAACTCTGAACCGCAGCCCACCTCTTTGACAATTGCTTTAGAAAATAGTGCCTACATTCATCTAATCTGCTTGCCAGCAAGAATCTCAAGTCAAAGGTATGTGTTATGCTCTTGAAAAGTTCCATTTCTTACTAAACTTCTTCATCTAATTTTCTGAAAAAAAAGGAAAGAACCAGAGCTTAACAATTCACTTCGGTGAGATGTACCTACTGAACTGTCTACTGTATTCAAGTTCAGTGGCTGAATCCATCCTTGCTAGGGTGTATTTTCACAGAGATTTGTTAAGTTTATTAAATTCTAACTCTGTTAAAGGTTTGGGTGGGTCTTGGTTTATACCATCTAGAACTAAAATTTTATCTTTAATCAAAAGTAGGACAGTACTAAATTTAAAAAAAAAAGTTTCTCAAAGAGGAGTCACTAACGCTAATTGAAGTGTTGGTATCACATTTTCACAGAGAATTCACAAGCATGATCCTTTATAACAGAAGTGCAGCTTACCTGGGCTATAGTTAATGCATTTTGGATTCGTGGGTCCTGCTCATAATCTTTTATTTTTTGTAGTGTTTGCCATATAATATTTCTAAATCCATCCTGCTCCTCATCACCCTGGAGTTCCCATGACATTTTCACGAGGTTATACACTATGCCATAGTATCCAATCCAGACCACATCATCACCTGCAAAAATAAAGAAAAACTCTTTGGGAAGATCATCTTTTTCAAAATTTATTTATTTTTAACTTATATGTATAAGTGTTTTACCTACATATATGTAAGAACACCACATGCATGCAGAGGCCAGAAAAGGACATCAGATCTCCTGCTACAGGTGTTACAGATGGTTGTTTGCTGTCATGTGGGTGCTGGGAACTGAACCCAAGTCTGCAGAAGGAGCAGGTGATGCTCTTAGCCACTGAGCCATCTCTCCAGGGTCAGGAAGCTCATCTTAATCACCTTACTAAAGTATGGTTGCATGAAGAAAAAAAAAATGGAATCAATTTTACCCCAGTTCATAATAACATACTACACTCTGAAATTCTAGGTTTGAAAAGTTCTGATCCTTTGCTACTTTTACTTCTTTAGTTTAAAAAGTTAACAGATCTGGGTCAGGAGAGATGGCTTAGCAGTTAAAAGCACTGACTGCTCTTGCAGAGGACCTGGGTTCAATTCCTAGCATCCACATGGCAGTTAGCAACCATCTGTAACTCCAGTTCCAGGAAATATGACACATTCTTCTGACCTCGGTGGGCATTGCAAGGGTCCACTTACACACATGCAGGCAATACATTCATACACATAAAAAAAAGTTAACAGATCATCTTAATATTTCTAACCACATGAAAACATAAACTGCAGCTAAATAATATACTTCAATCTTTGGAAGATAAGGAGGCAAACCATAAAACACACTGAAAAAAACAAATTCTTACAATTCAGGTAAAAAATCATTATGTTGAAGCAATATCAGCATGTTGACCAACATGGTGAACTTTTAGAAAGAAAACGACTTCTCATTTCAAAAATGAAATGCTATTAAGCATAGCATTTGAAAAAAGAACAGAATGACTAAAATAATATCAAAAATGATAAATCTTCTGATACAATTATAGGCAAGAAAAAATTTTATATAATAAGGACATAAATTTGTAATAGTGGAAGAGGTAATTAATTTAGAGAAATAAAATATCTAGAACACTCTCCATCTTAAAAGTCATATAACAGTAATTTATATTTATTAAGTTCTACTTTCAAAATTATGTACTTCTCTTACAGGAAGGATGAAATAATTTCTTTTTATTCGTTAATTACTTTTCACCTAGCTAAAGTATATTTATATGTAGTAATGCTTAGGAATAGAAAATTCTGATTTAGGAGGAGACAGGAAAAATAAATTTGAGGAATAAAATAACAATAACCCCATCCACAGTCCTCAGAAGAGAGATAAACTAGCTAGTCAAAGGGCAATATTAAAATACTAAGCCTATGTAAGCCTGTGTGAAAATTTTAAATTTTCAGAATAAAAGGAGAAATAAAAGTTCAGAAATATATACAGAAGATTTTAAATATTTTGTTATTTTTATTTTATACATATGAGTATATTGCCTGCATGTATGTAAGTGTGCCTATGTTGTGCAATGCCTGCAGGGGTCAGAGGAGGGTGTCAGATCCCCTGGAACTGGAGCTACCGACAGTTGTTAACTGCTGTGTGGGTGCTGGGAACCAAACTTGGGTCCTCTAGTGGAGCAGTCAGTACTCCTAACCACTGAGCCATCTCTCTAGCCTTAAGATATATAGAAGGTTTTAAGAGCCCAACAAATTTCACACTACTCTCTGAGCCTTGAGAGGCAAGGGGTTTGAAATAAGTGTCCTATTCAGGGATAAGCACTGCTCAGCGTCTTATTCTCTGCACATTGGCCAGTTGTAGGTTTCTTTGTTACCTGCCATCTCCTGTTTAAGGAAGCTTCTCTGATAAAAAGCTGAGAGATAATTTATAAGAATAAGTTATTAGGAGTCAATTTAATACAGTGACTGTTTAATAGAAAAGTAATATTAGGCTCTCTCCTATGTCCTGTCTAGCCTCGAGTTCCTAAGCCTGAGATCAATGTCAGGAATGGGCTCCTTAAATCCAATTAGAGAGGGGTTGGTTAACTCCCAGAATATTCCTGCCACTGTTGTACTGGTTGGCATATCATGCCAGGGCAGTTGTTGAAGTTCACAGGATTCACAGCTGGATAAGGATGATGATTACTTTTTTCCTTTGGTACTGTGCATAGCAGCACCCTTCAGCACTATGAAAACTAGTCAGCAGATATGAGGCTTTGAAGCCAACACCAGTTTGATTTTGCCTTGTTCGTTCTATAGTGCTGTATTTACGTAATCTCCACCCCCCCCAACTTGTTCCACATCCCTCTCTCCACTCACTTTCAATGTTATGACCTTTTCTTTAATTATCACTATTACATTTATATGGATATGTATGCATATTGTACATATATATGATCTACTGAGTCAATTTAACAGTATTCATAGGTACATGTGTTAAGGGCTGCTCACTTGTGATTGTATAACCTATCAGAGAGTTCATCTCTGGAGAAAACTGATTCTTACTCTCTCAATAGTTCTTGATTGCCTATAACTTTCTTTATCTAGAAGTAGGACCGATGTTGGGGAACCCTGCTGTTAGGGTTGTAGTTTCTCCATGATACAATGGCCTCAGGACCCAAAAACCCCATCGGTAAAAGCTTTTCCTGTTAACTTACAAATAACAAGGCAACGCCCACTGGCTTGGTACCCACTCCCAGCAGCAGAATTAAAAGAGCTACGCCAAGCTGTTCGGGAGGATGGGATCCATGCTCCATGGACAAAATCTATACTACAAACATTTAATACTAACCTGCTAACCCCCCAGTACTGGAGAGATATCTGTAGATCTACCCTCCCCAGTCCATTATTTGTACAATGGGAGACTTTATTTAGAGATGAATGCCTGATGCAGGTTAAAAGAAATGATACACATAATCAACAGCTAAGACCACAACAAGGACAAGATCCACCACCTGGATTCATAGATTGGAACTATGACCAGCTTTTTGTCAGGGCAACTTTTCCACAGGAATCCAGCAGGCTGTGATTCCTGCTGGCTGTTTTGAGCAGGTCCGCTTATGTGCGCTACAGGCCTGGGACTGCCTAACCCCCTTGTCCACCGGGCCTGGAGAGACTTCTTCATTAACTTTCTTAAAACAAAAACCAGCTGAAACTTTCCCAGACTTTATACTAAGAGTGCAGGCCAGTTTAGATAGAAAAAAACAGATCCTGCAGCCAAAGCAATGCTTTTAAACAGCCTTGTCTGGGAAGGGATGACCCCTGAGCACAGACAAGCATGCCAGGGACTAAAAAATGAACATTATGACAAATGGATTGTGGCCACCCATGACATTGGAACTGCCACGTACCAGGCCTCCTCCCTTGCCCAAGCCTTTGTAGTTGTAACCCAATCCAATCCAACTCAAAATGCTTTAAATGTGGAGAAACTAGACACTAGATAAAAAATTGCCCTCAAAATAACTCAGCTGCCACTAGACCCCCTAAAACCCTCTGTCCTCGCTGTAAAAGGGGCTTTCACTGGAAAAGAGATTGTAAACCTAAATATGACAGAGATGGCAAACCTTTGCCACCTTTAAACTGCTTCCAGGGCAGCCCTCAACCCCGCTAACAAGAGGGAAGCCACAAACATTATGGGTAACCAGTATTACAGAAAATACCCATCCAAAATTAACCATAAAAATAGACAATAAACCTTTCAAATGCCTCCTTGACACTGGGGCTGATAAAACCATCTTAAGGTGATCTGAGGTTCCCCCACACTGGGAATTAATACCAGGACCCCAACTAATGGGAGTAGGGGGACCCTCCCGAGCATTCATCACTAAAAGCTTCTATAAATGGGAGGATCCTGATGGAGAGGTTGGCACAATAAGACCCCTGATTGCAGATATAGCCACAAACCTCATAGGACAAGATATCTTGGAAGACCTCAATGTAGCTCTTGCTAGTGGGTCTGAAGAAAAATGCCTTAAAATAAATGATCATATGAGGTTCCTAAAACAAAAGAACCCCCAATTCTATAGGCCACTGTTGATTGCCAAACTCCCTGCCTCGACTGGATCACCAAGGAACCAGTCTGGGTGGAACAGTGGCCATTACCCAGGGAGAAATTTACTCATTTTACAACAACTCATAGAAGAACAGTTACAGCTGGGTCACATTAGGCCCTCCAGGAGCCCATGGAACACCCCAGTCTTTGTAATAAAGAAAAAGACAGGGGCATGGTGACTGCTACAAGACCTCAGAGCCATAAACAAAACCATAAAAATATGGGGCTCACCCCAAAGAGGCCAGCCCATGGTCTCTGCCATCCTCCTTAATACTCCCCTGTTAGTCCTAGATATAAAAGACTGCTTTTTCTCCATCCATTTACACAATAATGATTGCCAACATTTTGCCTTCTCAGTTCCAAAAATTAACAATTCTGGGCCAGCTGATCAATATGAATGGCATGTTCTGCCACAAGGTATGGCAAATAGCCCTACAATATGCCAGGAGGCTGTTGCAAATGCACTAGCACCCCTTTTAAAAAAAGCCTACACTGTTTATCATTACATGGATGACCTCTT